TTTTTGCTCTGTGTTTCTAAGAAAAAGCTCTTTGAAGGTCATGTTCGAATTCAAAGCTGTTCTTATTGTCTGTTTTTCCATGCTATCTACATTACTGTTGCATATCGCGTTTGGGAGCCCAATAGCTCCTGCAGGTAATATTTTCTAATTCCACTTATCCTACCCTCTGGTGTAGCATTTGTCAGTGCAGGTATGTGTCTGCAGGTGTTGATAAGGTAGAAAAAGCTACCTGAATAACATTATTATGCTGCCTATTTTTTCCTAGGTAGTTTGAAACAATTATCGCTGCTGGACTATAGTCGTGTGTTAAAAGATAGCTCATCCTCCTCCTGCAATACCACCCTCAGCACTTTAAAGTAGCGGTAGAAGTCCAGAATACCAGGCAGCGAGAAATCTTACCATGAAGGAAGGTAGGTGAAGGGAAGAGAGTGGAAGAGAAGGGTATGGGGAGGAGCTGATTTTTGCTGCTAGTGTTATTACTGTGCTGAAGGCTGTGGCTCCTTGTTCGTTTATCTGAGCGGGCAATTAATCTCTTGCTGTTAGAGAGCAGTGCTAAGCATAACCGCTAAACTATCAATGGTAATGGTGGTTATAGAAAAAGAAGTGAGCACTATAGCTGAGCCATAAAAACCACTGCAGCTGATTTTATTATGCAAGACATTGGATTGATTCTCCACCTGTGAGCCTCAGCAAATGCAAAACTGTATGTGAGCATATACGTGGATGCTTGCGCATTCCTCAGGAGTGCTGGAAGTAGTATCATCATCCCAGCTTCCCATTACTCACACATCTGCAGCAGTGCTGAAGGTCTCAGGAAGCAACTCCTTGCTCCTTTGGTGGGAAGCCAGAAGCGAGGTGGGAGGTGGCAGCACCCCAGGTTCCCCCAGATCTGAGAGAGCTGCTTCTGGGCAAGGAGCATGTCATCCTGTGGAATCCCCTATGCTGTGCTCCCTGGGGCTGCTGTGCCCCAGCAATGCCTCTGCTGGAAAACAGTGTTTGTTCAAGCAATACTGGAATTGCCCCACCAAATCAGAAATGGAAAAAAAAAGCCCTTTGCAATCAAAGGTCTTTTTTTTTTGCATGATTCAGACGTAGCATTTCTGTGAGAGATTCAAAAAAGGAAAATAATGCTTGAAAAATAACAAAACAAGAGAAGATGATTTTGGCTGTACAGACACTCAGCTCTGCTGACTGCTCTACATGCAGCTCTCCATTCTTTGCTCAGCAGAGCATCAGGCTGGTTGTATGCATGAATACAACATGCCATGTCCAACCAGACCTATCTTTCTGTCTTTCAGCTCCTTCCATGTGACAAAACACTTCTGCTATCTGTTTCTGTAACAGAAACACGCCCCCTAAAACATATTTAGCTCTGATGGAGATAGATAGTTCACTGCATTTTTTCTACTTTTTACACAAGTCTCAATAGTAACATTGTACTGGGATAAAACGTAGCTAATGAGCATACTGGAAAAAAAGCATATTTCAACACCAGAGAAGAAATATTTCTATAGTTTCAAAGCTCAATGCATTTTTCTTTTTCAGTTTTTTTTTTTGTTTTGTTTTGTTTTGTTTTGTTTTTTAAAATTTCCACTCAGCTTCAGGAGCTGATGCAAGATATTCACTTACTCTGCATACCATCATGATAACCAATGTAATAGCATGTAGGTATATGGGTTCTCAATTCATGCCACAACAGCCCAGTATCCCAGTTGGCCACATGATTGTGAACAGGTTTCTTACACCACTATTTTCTAACAAAGCTATCTAGAATGTTATCCCTGGATCCGTGCTAAATACATTTGTGTGGATAAATGCATGGACAACATTTTTGGCAGTTGATTATGCATGTTGGCCTAATCCTTTCTACCTTAGTACCTGTAAAAGGACAACAATATATCAATATATTAGGTCCAGCTTGACCAGGATGCTGTGAAGAAGGTTCACTATGTCTGAAAGTAATGAATAAGTCTTTTTTGTGGCTGTCAATCTAGTTTTGGAGCATGAACTAATCCTCAGTGAGCTTATTCGCAAAACATCCTTAGAGTTTGGGAATTATTATTCTCATCCACGTTCCTAGAGTCCAATTAAATTGGGATTTAATGATACTTCAGTGGCTCAGTGCCTAAACAGATGCATCTAATGCATGTTTTCAGACATCTGAGACATTGCTACAGATGTGGCACTTGTGGAAGACCTGTCATCCCTTTGGAGCAGCATCTGGGGTCCAGATTGAGCACTCTTGGGCATCAGAAAATGTGCTAGACAACTCTGTGAGAGCAGTTGAACTGAAATCTTAAGGAAAAATTCAACTTGCTCTCTAACACTCTGCCTAAAGACTGAAAGTGCCTGAAGTCACTAAATATGTTCACTTTGGAACAAAAAAAATCCCTTGAGTACTACAGTAGAGGATTTTGCACACAATCAGAAGCCCTTGCAAGAAAGAGCAAAGTGCCTAAGCGGCACTGCAATCCACAAAGGGTTTGAATGACAACAGAGACCTTAAATACTACCCATGTTGGACTTACGTTGCTCTCTTTTGAATTACCAAACTATTTCCCGAAATGGCTTGAGTGGATGGTTCTGCTTCCATAGCTACTGTAACCCAAAAGTTTTTCTATGTCTTACCAAAGAAGGGCACATCCTGCTGTGAACAGAACAAGGCTGGCCAATGCCAGAGTACTTGTTTGGAGCAGAACAGGTGTCTCACATAGTAATTCTTCACCATTCAAAGAGAATCTGACTCCATCCCAGGAGAATGTGCTATCAAGATGGAGGCAAGTCCATGACGGGTCTATTTCCCCTCTGAATCTAGTTGTCAAGGCACCAGTGGTGCAATATTAAAATTAGGAAATCAGGAGTAAGAAGAGACACTCTGCTGCTGCTGCTGTGTTGTAGGGCTCCTAGAAGGAGAGGAAACTTCAGCTTGAATCCATACACAATGTCTAATTCTCCATTTATCACTGGATGAAAACGTCTATGCAGTGCTGAGAACTAGGACCAGCAAGCAGGACTCAGCTTGTTTCCTAGAACCATCTCACTTAGTTACAGCTTTAGGAATCTTGGGTCTATGGTAGTTTGGGTTTCATGAGTTTTACTTTACAGTATCAGCAAATGGGAGCAATTAGAAGGGACTATCGGGATCTTTGGCCAGAAAGTAACATAAGCACAGATGAGATGATTAAGACTGCAACTGTGCCTGAAGGTCTTCTGAAAAACAATGGCATTGGACGGACTTTTAATGGATGGAATATTTTTAATGGGCCAGACGAAATACTAGGCTATAGGCTATAAATTCTGGCTCTAGGTTGTGATTCAAAAAGAATACAAATCTTTCCTTCTTGCAGCCACAAAGAAATTTCTCACTCAAAGTAAACACAACATTTTGAATCACACAGAGGTGTGGTTGGGAAATTTATGTCAGCTGCAGTAGTACTAATTAATTTTCAAGTGAATTGGGCAGGGGAGAAAAAAATGCTGCTTATTTTATTTTCCACAGGATTACTGTCATACTTCACTGTTAAGGTAATTTGTTGTATTTGTTTCATTTACTTTCAAAAATTTGTTGTTCGCTAATATTGTTTAAATTTTATTTTTAAATCTTCTTTTGGTGGCTTACTAAGTTTTCGGTTGATGACGAATATATATCCAACATTTACATCTCTTATAACAAGCATAGATAAAAATAGAAGCAAGACCTGGCAATTTATTTTTTTTTCATAGTAATCATCACAGTAATGAACAATTCATTAAAATATTGATCTTTCAGGGAAAATAGTAGTTTACAAAGATGTGGATCAAAGATTTTAAATCTGATGGAGACTGTTTTTACATTAGTACAGACAAGGCGAAGGCTGAGGTACTTAGTAACTTTTCTGCCTCGGTTTTCTCTGATAAATGCTCATCACACAAATGTTTGGTTTGGTAGCAGGGGACTGGCGAAGCAATATCCCTATCACTTTAAGCATAGTTCAGGTTCATGACCACCTGAGGAACCTGAACATCCACAAGTCTATTTTTCCCAATGATATCCATCCCAGAGTCCTGAGGTATTTAGCTGACATAGTCACCAACACACTCACAATGATATCTGAAAAGTCATGGCAATTAGGTGAAGTCCCCGGTGACTGGAAGAAAGGTAACATTGCACCCATTTTTAAGAAGGATAAAATGATGACCCCAGGAACTGTCAACCTATCAGTCTCACCTCTATGTCAGGAAAAATATTGGGCCATCCTCCTGGAAGCCATGCTAAGGCACATGGAAGACAGGGAGGTGATATGGGAGAACCAGCATGGCTTTACCAAGGGCAAATTCTGCTTTACCAGCCTAATGGCCTTCTGTGATAGTGTCACTGCATCAATGGACAAAGGAAAAGCCACTGATGTTATCTATCTGGACTTCAGCAAGGCCTTTGACATGATACCCCACAACATCCTTCTGTCCAAATTGAAAAGCTGTGAATTTGATGAGTGGACTGTTCAATGAATGAAGAACTGGCTGCAAGATTGAGTACACAGGGTGGTGGTCAATGGTTCAATGTCTGGATGGAGATCAGTTATGAGTGGTGTCCAGGGGTAGTGCTGGGACCAATAGTCTTCAATAACTCAATAACATTGACAGTGGGGCCAACTGCACTCTCAGCAAGTTTGTGATGACACTAAGGGTCAACACACCAGAAAGACAGGATATCATCCAGAGGGACTTAAACGGGGTTCAGCAGTGGTCCCAGGTGAACCTCATGAAGTTCAACAAATCCAAATCTTGCACCTGGGTCAAGGAAACCCCTACTACTAATACAAGCTATGGGATGAAAGGATTGAGTGCAGCCCTGCTGAAAAAGACCTGGGTATACTGGTGGATGGGAAACTGGACATGAGCCAGCAATGTGCCCTTGCAGCCCAGAAAGCCAACCGTATCCTGTGTTTCATCCAATGAAGTGTGGCCAGCAGGTCAGGGAGGTTATCCTGCCCCTCTACTCTGCACTGGTGAGACCTTACCTGGAGTACTGTGTCTGGATGTGGAATCTTCCATACAGGACAGATATAGAGCTGTTGGAGCATGATGGAACACCTCTCCTGTGGGGACAGGCTGAGAGAGCTGGGGCTGTTCAACCTGGAGAAGAGAAGGTTATGTGGTGACCTGATAGCAGGCCTTTAGTATCCAAAGGGGAGCTACAGAGAAAAAGGGAACAAACTCTTTAGCAGGGTCTGTGGTGACAGAGCGAGGGGAAATGGTTTCAAACTTAAAGAGTGTAGATTTAAGTTAAGGAAAAAGGCTTTTACAGTGAGGGCGATGAGGCACTAGAACAGGTTGCCCAGAGATGTGGTTGATGTCCCATCCTTGGAGACTTTAAAGGCAAGGCTGGATCAGGCCCTGGTCAACCTGATCTAGCTGCAGATGTCCCTGTTCCCTGCAGGGGAGTTGGACTAGATGACCTTTAAAGGTCCCTTCCAACTCTGAGGATTTTATGATTCTATGATTCTAACACAGTATGCACCATCTGCTGAAGTAATGGCTGTGTACGTACTACCCTCCTGCTCAACATTTTTTTTCTACAGGAATGAGGAAACAATCATTACTTTATGGCTATTATGAAACTAGGGTAATCATTTGCTTCTACCTGGTACGATCATTATTCATGCATGCCTCTTATTTTAGCAGAAGCTGTATTTCATATGATTGAAGGTCCACTTATTCTGAACATTCTTGGCAATATGTAGAAACCTCAAAGTGCATTGTTTTCATTTCTGACAGAACGCTATGCATGACACATGTTTTTCTAATGTATTGAACATATGCAATACCTCTTCTATAGCAAAATGTACAAAGTTAGTAGAATACAGCTGTTCATTTGCATTCAGAATTGATGCATGAGCAAAACGCACACTTAATCTATCAATATGAGCCGTTAAGATTAAGTTATCCTGTACCTCATTCTCAGTGCAAGAGGTTTTCTGCTGTGATAAGGTAGGTGAATTATCTTGCACTGCTACTCTTGCTCCCAGAAAATGCAATGATAATTCAAATAAAAGTTTCTACACTTGTACATCCTGAATTTCCACTTTTTTTTTTTACTGCAAATCTGTGTAAATCCATACTTTATTCCCCCTGCATGAATTTAGGCTTATAGAGTAAACCACTATCATCATGGCAATAATAGCAGTCAGGGAGCGAAGGCTGTGCCTCATTGCTTTAGTCCATGCACAATAATAAGTGTATTTCTCCATTCTTTTAAACCATTTGGTTTTAAGCCTTTTCAAAATGCTTTTAGAATAATTTGGGATGAAGAAACGGTCTGTTTTTTCAAAAAGAACTCTAATTAGAGTAAGTTTCTCTCACTGGTTTAAACTGTTTTTATTTTTTCCCAATTACCACGTTTGTTAAACTGAATATTTGATTATATGTCTTTTCCTTTCAAAACTTCAAAATCTTTTGGTACTTTAAAGTATTCCTTCACTTTCTGGAACTTGCTTAGAAAAAGTTTAACTTGCACTAGGGGCTGGAATATAAAAGCAAATTGAAGCATTGATTTCCCCATTTCATCACCTCTAGAGAACAATTCATAAGGCACGGAAGTTCTAACTAGTGAATCAATAGTTGCTACTTAAATCAGAGTCATTGCAGATAGCCTGTTGTTATTAAAATTGTTCTTCAGAAGATGGTAATAAATGAAAAGAGAGGAGCCAATTCCACCTCCAAGTGGATTTCAAGATTGACACATCAGGAGAAGGGAAGATGTACATGCAACTTGTCCTTATTCCCAAAAACAAATGGGAGAAACATATTTCCATAAAGACTTCCCAACTCTTATGACCAAGGATGACTTACAACACCAAAATGTGTTGTGAATACAAGATAGCATGACTCTGTCAGATCCCTGAATGAATGTCTGCACCCTGCACTTCCTGAGCCCAATCCAGATATATGGATAGAGATTTGGGTCCTGCCTTGAAGTCTGTTTCTGTGCCAGATATCCTGGTGATCCTGCTGCAGAGCAGAGGCCTGAAAATCTCAAGACCTATCAGATCTGACTGCAGGTCAACAAGGAACATCAGAGGCATGTAGCTTGGGTGTTTGATGCTCCTGCATATCTGGAACAGTCTGAGGCGATGAGGGAGTCAGGAGTAATCATTTCAGGAAAGCAAAACAAAGTTTTCATTTCACTGGAAAGCTTAAAATAGTATTTCTTCATTCTGGATGAAATGCAGGGGTTGGGATTTTAGTTCAAAAATATAACAAAACAATGGAATGGAAATTTTAAGCTTTGAGCATTTAAACTGTAAAAGATTTCAAATTACACATGCAAATAATGCAGATGACAAACGTATTCTTCTTCACGAAGGCAGTGACGGAAAATAAAATTACAGCACAAGATGCAGACAGTCCTTTGTGATCTCCTTCTGAAAAATAACTTTAGAATAGTGAATAAAGCATACTGTAAATCAAGCCAATTGGGCTTTTTAACAGCTATTAGAAATGTTGTGTTTTCCATATCCATTATAAGGATGCACTTATGTCAGCTGAGGACCTATGTCCATAGACAACATCACAGTGAGCACGACATGATCTCATTGCTTTTCAGCGCACAGCAATGGAGTTCACAGCAATGTAAATAATAGCAGCAGCAATGGGCGCTGCACAGTGTGAGGCCATGATGATTGCCCTGGGACAGCTTGTACTGAGGCAGAGGGAAGCGGAGGAGAAACCACACTCTGCAGCAAAACTCATCACATGCCAAAGCTTTATCTCATCAGGGAAGAACATGGTGAATATGTTCAAACATACCTGAGATAAAAATGATCGACCTCACTGTTGGTGAGGGGTACTCGGCACAAGAACCAGGAGCAGGGACACCCTAAAAGGATTGCAACATTTGAGTGAATCACAGCACTGCTGGGACAACCCCAAGTTTCCAAGGCACTGTGGCCTGTGAGTCACCCACACAGGAGGAGGGATACCAAGGAACAGATCAGCAGAAATGCTGTGGTGTGAAGCAAGAGGTGTGAAGGAAGAAGGTGTGGTTAAGCGTCAGCTCAGATTGCTATGGGGCTGTTCTCCTTTTGGAGGAAAGTGATGGAGCATGTCCTGAGGTGAAAATTAGGAAAACTGAGGTTTGTGGGGATTAGGATTGGTATTTGTTTGTGGAACTGTTTGTGTCCTCCTCCCTCTGAATTCTTGAATCAACAATCAGAAATTATTAGTGGTTGACAAAGAATCAACTGATGACAAATTTCCTGAATCTAGACTGCCTTACCTACAGCACTGTTCTGTCAGTGAGACCATGCCTTGCGCTCACTAGGACACTATGAAACAAGAAAGAGCACTCAGATATTACTGCACGTTGTACACTGCACACCCACACCTTTTCATATGCTGCAGAAGCACAGTCCTGGACTGGGATACCTGTGTGCCAAGAGGGAATGGGTGGCTTTCCTTTGCAGTAGTGCCTTATCCATTAGGATGAACTTTTCTCTCTTCAGTTAGGAGAAACTGGCGAGTGAAGAGTTTTGTCTGAGTGCAGACTGTCATTTAAATTCAGCATACAGTAATGTTTGAACAAATAAAGCTAGGCTTGCTGTCTCATTGTTCTTTAATAAAGGAGGGTGGGGAACCCTTTCTAAACCTATGGACAGCACATAGCAAAGTGAGATCTAGTGTTTAAAGATATTTCTATGGTTCTTATGAGAATTAGAAGCCTCCAGCTATATCAGCATCCAGATGTCAGTAGTAGGGCCAGTACTATGCTGCTTATCTTTTTTAGTTAGAAAAGTTTTCAGCAGTTCTTCTTCTACTGTTCATCCCCATGCTCTCCTGTTCCATTTAAACCATATTAGATTTACAGTAAGACGCCACTGAGATGACATCGTGTGACCTATTTGCATTGGCTATCTCTCACATGCTGATGTAATGGTGCATGACCTATCAGCAAGACATTCAAAAATGCATGATTGATTGTGTTAAGTGTTAATTGTTCTATTAAAGGAGAAAAGAAAAGCCCCACACCCTCCTTTTCTTAACCTCTATTCTGACCTGGTACTCTCTGTCACAACCCAGTACATCCTTCCTACTTCCACACCTGTACAATTAACCCTAAATAATTACAATCTCTAATGGACTGAACATGTCAAGTTAAAATCTGATTCTTCAAAGAGAACTGATAAAGTAGGCTGAGGTAATCCTGTTGCAGTGTGGCAAATGAAACATACATTACTGCTAGAAGCTATGAGATGACTCTGCACATGTATAAGGTCCCTCTGTCTGGGAGAAGTGGACAGAATACGTCAGCAGGAACAAGGGCAGTGGGAAGATGCCTTTGATGTAAAAAACATATTTTAAAGCATAAGCATGAGACAGTGCAATTGCCTAACTCACAAAACCTGATGAATTAGCACTGGATGGTGAGCTCTTTGAGAAAGGCTTTGGCTCTTTGCTTTGGCCTGAACATGAGTTACACTCACAACATGCCTAAATTTCACCTCCAGTGGGAGAACTAATTCTGATTTGTACGACAAAGAAACTGGGACCAGTAGGAGCAGAAATGTTACAGTGAGCTTTATGTCATGAGGGAAAATCAATCTGGTTTCCCTGATTACTCAGAAGTTGTCAAGCTAAGCCTTGCAAGAGGTGTATGGGATATAAACAACTACTCAACTAGTTTGGAGTACTAGGAATAGCATGGTCCTGAGTTAGTGGCCATATAAACCTCAGATCATTTCCAAAGTAAGGCAGAGGTTTCCAAAAACCTCATCACAGTCCGTCTGAATCTAGTATTCATGTGAAATAGGAGATTAGCTCTACAGTAAAGCACGATTTGCATGGCATGGTTCTCCAGATGAGCTTAGTGACTATGCTGAGAGTGGTCTGTTTACAGGTACAAAATTTGGTGGAATTACGCCATCTGAAAACAGTGCAAGGCTCCATGGAGGAAGAAAAAATAACGGTACCACGGATAGGTAAAAGAAAATCCATAAGTAGTTGTTGGGAGTGCAGGCATCAAAAATGCATGGATAGCTGCAGTTTAACATTGTCTGAATTTTAGCTTTTCTGCAATAATTCCCTATCTCCTGAAATTGAGTTATTCAAGACTTTCACCGAGTGTC